ACAGAGATGAAATCTCAAAATTATAACGCATCTTAAAGAAATCTGTGCTCAAATTGACCACTTCTCAATCAGTACGCATTGAAAGCAATTATATCTAGTTTAGAGCATTCTGTCAGAGAAAAAGTATGATTAGAGTTTCCCGAAAGGACAAGATAGTAATGCATCGTGTTACACTTATCTCGCAAAATTTCGCAATCACAGCGGAATCTGTAACATTCTTCCATTTTGTAGGAAAGAAAGGCTGAAAAGCCATTATGTCAGATATTGAAAGTTTCAAAATCTATTTAATACAGTGTATATTGCGAAATTTGACTTTCAATTTTCAAATCACCCTCAGCTCATGTTATGATATGATTACCTAGCAATCAAAGTTTTTCAAGAAACAAATTTCAAGAAGCATTGGAAAATAAGCTCTAAAAGATGGTAGTATACGAAATTATTTTCGAACAGGAAAGTTTCGGATATAAAGATAATAGATTAACTCGAATATCTATTTTTCCGACTATCGAACATCTGAGTAACCTAAAATTGGACCTTTAATCAAATTTTCAAATTATCTGCAAATAGAGAATTCCGAAATTCAATCGAATTTTTCGAACTTAGGGAATTTTACAATCAAATTTTTAAATGACTTTAAATCGAGTGGTTTACTCACGTAGTCGAACATATATTCGACTCGCTGTAGTGTATACGTGATGGCTCCGAAGACGTTGCCGAAAGTTGTAGAAGAACAGTCACACAAACAGCGGACTTCCAACAATTGCTTTGTAAGTGGACAGACTGAGTGAAACAGGCAAAATTTTCGATAACCTGCAGGAGTTATTTCTACTGCCGATTAATGTAAAAATAACTTTGAATCTCCATAACAATCTTCCATAACTGCTAAAGCAAGGCTGAGTTTACAGCATTGAAGGGCAGCGTCTCAATTTCCTTACTAAACCACCCACTTAGGCGACTTGACCATATTCTCATGGTGAACGATATTGATGTGATGGACATGGATCAGCGTAGTGTGATTGACATTTTGAAAAACAGTCATCACCTCAAAATGCTTATAAGGAGGAGAGCTAATGCTGCAAGCATTCATGAAATCACCTTCACCTCTAATCAAGGTTAGCTGTAAAAAAAGAGTACTGGAATAAAATGGGATCCCTCCATCTTTAGACATTGGCATCGAGTTGGGAAATGGCGTTTTCGTTAATTCTGTTGATGCTGGCGGAGTTGCTAGTCGAGTTGGAGTGGAGCCAGGGCATCGAATTGTGCATGTGAACAACGTACCCGTCTATGACGCTAAACATGCTGAACAGCTCATCAGATGTAGGATCATGCATTTGTACCCACGCAGTCCTTAAGCAAATTCTTTTAAGTTGGAAATGGTCCAGTTGTGGTGGGCCTTCTTGATGGAAAGAAACGGCCTGACCCCTACTCAAAAGACCAGTCTTCTAAACAGAAAGTCACACTATTTTCCAAGGTGAGTTCTTAAGGATAAGCAAACCTTCGGTTCTAGTCTCCAAATAGTAAATTTAGATTTTCGGTCGCCAATCGGGCGACAAACCTCGGGTTGTCGCGAAAGCGAACATCGGTAACGCCTCTGGGGAGCAGGTATTTTTTCGACAAGGCTCGCTTAGGATCCCCAACCCAC